AGAATACTATCAAGCAACATTTTTAAAAAAAACAGGACACGCTACCCAAACCTCCAGTGTATTAGTCTGTTTCATCGTTTCAACAACAGACCTACATTGATCTGATGAAGAGCTGCAATATACAGTCAAACTTACAACGCCTGTAAAGCGGCACATGCAAGTCAACGCGGAACGTAAACTGCGTCAGTAAATTGTAGTCCTGGGTTGATGTTATTTTCTAGGTCACAGTCAAGCTTAAGCTATATCGGTATTTTGGTTTGGTATCGTTATATTCGGCGTTGCATGCATTGCAGTTTGTGACTAACCTGTACACTTACAACCAATTATCAATTGGTTATGGATTTTTCCTCAGTGGATAGACAGCGTCTGTATTCATGATTTTCTATTATAATCCTTGTGGAATTTAAATTCTAGATTTTGTGACCTCACCTAGACAAGTTTTGTCCAATCCGGGTAAGTCTCTGTCTTCTATTCACATCATGATCATTTAGTATTCCTCAGTACACAGCCTGTATAAATAAAGTAACAAAAGCCATCAACAATCTTTTGCAAAAAACAACATAGTCCACCCTACTGATCTGTTATGAATGGATGTTAGTAATGTTTATCCAGCAAACAAGTAGCCTAGTGATCATTTAGGATACAGCGGAAGCCGGCAAGTGACACTATCCACACGCCTTAAAAGTTGTAATTATTTAACAAACAACTCGGTTACATTGTACCACTACTCATCATTGAGTAAGACTCATTGTTACCGTTCTTAGATGAGTTAGAGCGTAGCATACAAGTTGGAGGGTATCACGGGCTATGAATGAATATCTAGTGTGTGTGTACTGAGTGAGAAGCTGTAGGAAGTCATGTTAGTGGGCAATAGTTCGGATTATGCAGTGGTGCCTCTTTATGTGTAAGAAAATTGACAACCGGTTTGCTATTTGTCTGAACCGGATTCTACATGTAGTGTTTTTGACGAAATTGAAGGCCATTGTTGGATTTGGTGAAGTTCGTCTGGTATGTTTGGCGTCTTTTGTCTGGTCTGATGCGGAACGATGAATCCGTAGAGGTGTGTTTGGTTTGGTTGTAAAAAGCCTATCCTTAATCTGTCTTTATTTCTTTGCTGTGTGTAGTAAACGATCACAATGAATTTTGTACCATAATTGCACAGCAAATTTTTACCTTTTCCTTCTTACAACTATCATCGTCTATCTGTTAAAACTCTCTCCTTGTTGTTGTTGATACGTGCTCATTTTCATCTGTACCCGATTGTTTTAATGAGGTCATTTCCCGCCGACTGGTGGCTGTTTGTGAACACGTGCTTAGTTGCTCTATTTTGAACTCCTTTGCCGGATAATTTGTGTACCCGGTTGATTCACATTCAAGGTGGGACAGTACCTTTGTTGTAATTTTATTAAACAGTACCGTATAGATTCTAATCCTTCCGATCGCCTTTTCTGACGTTTTCTGGACTTGGAAGATAGTCCCGTTAACCCGACCGTCTGAATAAGCGTTATTGTAATTGTCGAATACGCGTTACTGGGTGAATTACCCTAAATCGCCAGGAGCGAGTTAACAGCCATAATACATGTAGGCGTGTTTATGTTTATAGCCCGATTACTCGGCAAGGTTTTGGTTACTTACTTGCGTTGAATTTAACTATACATTGTGGGTCAACTATGTGTCAAGGCTAACTGTTCCATCGACAGCACTACGGAGTCGTAATTGTCATACATCCAAGAAAAGGAAGACAAGCACAGTAACTCGTAGAACACTCTGAGTCTATAATCAAACAGGTAACACTGAGTGCTTATACTTTACAAATACACAACAATAGTAAATACACGGTGACGAGCACAGATGCTGGTTACTTATGTTTCATACGAATACTCAAGTAAAATCTCTTCCCAGTCTGACGGAAAATTGTGACAATAGGAGAAATTTGAACATGACGAAGAGTGTCATGACGGCTGTTTTGATAAAATATACCGAGATGTGACGATAAATGTGAACCAGAGCAACCTTACAGCAAAGCGATATGCTAAGCCATATACACGCAGAACCGGATATTTGTTATGAATAATGACAAGGTTGAGGCTACGATGCCGGCTTGAATGTTGACAACTCTAATTTGAGTTTCTCATTTCGAATATTCACTTACAGATCAGACTGCTGAAGAAAACCGAGTGGAACAACAATGACCGCGAATGCCCAGAGAACCCTTCGCCAGTGTTCTAGATGAAGCGCCAACGAACGTTGTTAATAACAGGTGATTGGTATGTTAGTACTTTCGTGAAGCTATGGTGAAAACGTAGGGATCACCTCACAGGGTTGTAGGAGCACTACCCCGGTTGTGACAACAACGTTCATCTGGAGAGTGGCTCTCTAGTGCCTCATGTAGTAGGGTGGAAGAGGTGAATGTTAAGGCGAAAGCCGGTCGCGCTTCTCTCCTCAAGGAGCCAGTTAGGTTATCTTTTTGGCAGAGGTAGTTGCAGGGATCAATACAGCACTTTGTCTGCATGCTATACATCATGACTGGTTTTTACGCACGATAGGCGCTTACGGGGGTTTCTGATCCGACTCTGATAGGGTGATGTTACATACGCGCCAAGGCCGCCTGTTTGTCCCACACTCGTACCGAGACCCAAGCTGCGTTCTGATTGGTCGCGCCTTCAACGACCAACGACTCATTCGCCATTTGCTGGGCAGTGAAGGACAACGTCACTTCGATGCACTTGACTTGCAGTCAGAAATTTCGTTAAACAATGTCTTCGTTATATTCGACCAAGAAGAAGAGTGCACAACGAACGTGATCCCAGAAAGATTCGAGTTTCGCCAGTTGAAACAGAACGCTCTGGAACCGTTGGAGCAGTCTACATCCTGTCAAGTGGCGCAATTGGGCCAAGAATATATCTATTCTGTACATAATTCTATTCTCACTGGAAAGCAACGGCACGGGTTTTCAGAGTCCAAGTTCTCTTCACCGGACATCTGAACGGTGGCCAATTGTACACACCGACGTACGACAACTACTGAGATGGAATCCAATTCCACCCCTCCGATAACTCAGCTGCGCCCGATTCCTGTGGCCAAACAGGAATCAATGGCTGCTGTCACAGAGGAAGTGTGCCGAACAAATCGACAGTTCCGAATGGGTTCACTCCACAGTCACGATGTAAAAAAAGGAGGATACGTTACGAATATGCAATGACTGAGATGCGGTAAATAGCCAGGTTGTGTTAGCTAAATTTATACTTTCAACGGCCAGTGAGCTACTAGTCAAGTAGGCTGACACTTAAGGAAAGCATTCTTCTATATGCTGTTAACATCGCATTCTAAGTACCTTGGAACCGATGGACTTTTCCACCGTTGGAAACGTCGCCTTGCCTAGCAGTCAACTTACAGAATACTAACATCACCAATACAGCTTGGAACATTCGTCCGCGGGAAAGGGCGGCAAACAAACAAAGGTCAATGCACTAACCAGACCGACTGGAGTAGCTCAGGCGTGTGAACCGGGAATGTACGAGCTTACAGCCAGCCGCAAGATCAACGCCAGACAGCTTTACACATCACTGATGCAAATGGACGAGCACAAACTACCAACTTCACATTGTGTGATCCCCGACAGACCAAAAGTGTCAGGAAAGAACCCAATTCCGCGAAAATACCGTATTCATTCGCCTTTGGAAAGGCCCATTTCATTCTGTTCGAAGTGACCTTAAGGTCACTATGAATTCATAGTCGGCACGGTCAGTGCCACTTTACCCTTCACGTGCGTCCTCAACGTTTGTGCCAATTTCTGGTACACCGCCAACGCACTTCGCCCTTCACGGGCGTTCTCAGCCTTGTGCTAATTTCTGGCACTCAGCCTACATGTTCGTCCTTTAATTGGGACAGCAGTGTACATTGTGCATCTTTGTCTGGTCCGCTTTCTGACCATGTTCTTGATTGGTCACGAACCCTTTAAATGTGGTCCAGTTTGTGACCGTGTTGTCTTCGGATTGAGTGACATAAAGTGGCTCTCTCCGGAAGCCTGTCTTCTCTCTGTGTTCATACGTTAGCATTGGATGGTTGAGTTGGCCGGGAAGATTCGTATTAATCTCGCATATTTCGTAGTCTGTTGTTCAGAATCGTTGAACGTCGTTCCGTTATCTACCGTTCCACTAACCGTTATTCTGTTGTCTGTTTACGAGCTGGTAGGCCGTATACCAAGACACAACAAAAACAATGTCGACCAGTCCATCACCAGGCCTGAACCACTCGATGTGATTTTGGTCGGCTTTCGAGTTAAGACGGAGGTGGTGTATACACGTCGAGACCACCTGTGTGTCCCACACTCGTGCCGAAGCTCAAGCTGCGTTCTGATTGGTCGCGTCTTCAACGACCAACGAGTCATTCGTCCACGCACGTAGGAATGACAGTACTGTATGTAAATATGACAATATAGTGTGTGCTCAACAGTGGTGTTGGTGGATTTCAACGTGAACTGATCAAGAAATTAATGATGAGTAGTAGGGGATTTGGATTTTCATATAGATTGAACATCACCCACAATTGATCGCAGCTGTCGCATTCCCATAGACTTTCCAGTCGGCCCATTTCGAAAAGAAGCACTAGACTCGAGTTTTGCTCTCATTAGAGCTCGTCAGTAGTGCATATCATCGCCACTGCCGGGACTTGAACCACGGACAATCAGTTCATGAGGCAACCGTGTTTACCACTGCGCCATTGTCCGTGGTTCAAGTCCCGGCAGTGGCGAGGATATGCACTACTGACAAGCTCTAATGAGAGCGAAACTCGAATCTAGTGCTTCTTTTCGAAATGGGCCGACTGGAAAGTCTATGGGAATGCGACAGCTGCGATCAATTTTGGGTGATGTTCAATCTATATGATCAAGAAATCCTTCCGGAACGGTCGGTCCCCTGGATCATTTGGTGGATTTCACATGAGACAGTTGGACAAGTGGGTAACCGAGTCCAAATGTGAAATTTCCGGGCTCCTGACGTGGCTCCGTAGCTCATCTGACAGAGCGCATGCCACGTTGAGGCATGATGTTTCTGTCGCTGGTTCGAATCCGGCCGAAGCCTTGATTTTTCACAACTGGGTCACATCTAAAATCATGAATTTACCGAACTACTTATTAGTAATATAGTATGTACTTCCGGTGGGCCACGTGTTCTCTCTACCGTTGTTATAGCCTATAAGGCCTACCGTTGAGTGCACCCGAATACGAATACAACAGGTGATGTACGCGTGTTCAGACTGGCGAAGCCCGTTGAAGGGCGACTGCCTTTGTAGTTCCGTGCGCGAATGATCAGGCTTAAACGGTTATGACAGTTCTATGGATACTGAAAACTGGTATTACTTACAAACATTTCACGTGTGGTATGTCACTACAGCGAGGTTCTCGAATTTTGCATTGTTCTACCTAGTGTGTGTATGCATACAAAACGTGCAAGTGTCACTGTGACCTGCGCGCATATATAATTCACTCGAAGTCTTGCTCCGGTGTATAGATGACTCGACTAGATCATACAACCCTCCTGACTAGACATTTGACTGTTGGCTTGGTTACGTTTACATTTTATTATCGTCCAGCTTATTAGGTAATCACATAAATGTTCACGTTTGTTACGGCCTTCCGTCCTGACCTATACTGCTACCTTGGCGAGGTAGACGGGCATGTGTGTGATTTAGATCCGGCGGGCTATGCTGACTAGGGCTCCGGTCCTTCCAGGTGCAACCTTGTCAGACAGGCCAAACGGGGGCAGTCAGATGTAAAGCAGTTACTCTCACAAGATTGTATATCGCACTACTGACCGCGTAGAAAGGCTTAGGTAGTGAGGCACGATTCTATGGGAATACAGCAGAACTATTTTTA